GACTCTGGCAAAAATGACTCGTGTGTGTGTGTGTGAAGTGTTTGCACTGCAAACCTAGACAAGGAAATAAGAGGCAATAATACATGTTACATGGTGTTTGCTGGCATTCGTGCAAAGAAGCATAAATATGGTGCAGCGTAAGCTTTGCGTGTTTTTTGCTTCAGCTTATGTCAGATAGTTTTGTTCAGCACAAAGTGTGAGTGCAGCTGCAAGTTTTGTCTGATGTAAGTCACAAGATTGATAACAATTAGGGTTTTTCTTGTGAAAGAGAGTAGTTTCACATGTAACATTAATGATGCATTTTCTGGTTCATTTTTAGTGTTCTGGTGCTGTGTGTGTGCTGGCTCTCTCACACACACAACCTCCAAAACTGCAATCGGATGCTGTAATGATTTAATGCTTTGTTCTGCAGGCTTCTTACACCTCGGCGGACTTCGAACTGCCCTCTACAATTACATATTTGCAAAGAAGTATGGAGGTGTATTCATCCTGCGGCTGGAGGACACGGATCAGAGCAGACTGGTACCAGGAGCAGCAGAGTCCATAGAGGACATGTTAGAGTGGGCTGGTAAGAGACACTAGTCCAGAAGGATTGACTCTGTAATACGTAGCTCTTTGTACACAATCATGACCACTTCATTTTTTTCATCTAATGTGGCTCCCAAGTGAAGAATCTACTTTCATCAGTACATAGAAAATGAACCTAAGATAACAACATAAGAAATAAGTAAACATTTCCTTTTATTGTTCAGTCTGTACATATATCGAACATTTATATAATACGAGATATAGATGTCTCTTGAAAAACACAAAGTCTGACACAAATATGGGCCGTGGTTCTCCATTTCTTTGTTTTTCAAAGTGACGTCGGTTTGTTAAAAGTTGTCTTTAGATCTGCTTTTTGGGTTCGGCTCAGTGAAAAGCACACTGTGCTTTTTTGAGTGTTTTATTAATATGAGGTAATGGCTGATGATGAACACAGAAGGAGGGATCAGTTGATCTGATGCTTACACAGAAACTACTGGCTGAATTTTGAATATTGTTGAAAAACTTAAGCGCATTAAACAGTTCTTACAGAACTGCTAACTGCGTTCAATTTAACACTGTGTTGAAAATTGATCTTGGTTGATCACATTTTTTAGACACCCTAAAGTGTCTTTCCTCAGGGTTGATCTGCTGAATAACACTGGGTAAATGGATCAATGCAATCACTGCATTAAATCCTAATAGAGTCGATCCCCGTCTATTCACAGTTCATGGATTTAATTCCAAATTATTCGCTGATTTATTACGGAAATTACAAACACAAAAGTCCCGGGAAAATTAAAATAGGCAGTTCTAAGCGTTTTTAGAGGGGGTCTCAAGGTTTTGAGGGCAGGTATGGTCCCTAACCCCCACAAATACCGGGGATTGACTTTAAAAGCGTTTGGCTAAGTTGTTGCTACCATCTAAGCTGAATCTTTCACACAGGTATACCTCCAGATGAAAGTCCACGTCGAGGTGGCCCGACAGGTCCATACCTGCAGTCTCAGAGACTCGACCTCTACAATCAGACAGCCCGGCAGCTTGTTGACAGTGATCACGCTTACTACTGTTTCTGCAGCTCTCAGAGACTGGAGCTGCTCAAAAAAGAGGCATTAAGGTCGGGGCAGACCCCAAGGTAATTCAGAACCCAAATCAGTAAAAAACTTTATATTACCCACTCTTTTTTTTTTTTTTT